AGGAAGTCTGAAGCAACTAAAGTTAAGAAAAATAAGTTTCTAGGGACTGCTGAAATGCCCCTTAATTTGGAAGCTTTTCCTGAAAGGGTAGTGAGCACCATGAGGGCCCATGTGAGGTCAGTGGGGACTCTGCGTGAGAAATTAAAATTGCTCATTGCATACAGAAGACACAACCCCTCTTCCAGGGACAACCCCTGCCTGACAGGCAACCTCAAGGAAGTTGGTGAATCACTGCTTTTAATCCTTCCCATGTATGAATATAAGATTCCAGCTACCTCCATCATCTTAATTTCTCCCTTAACATGTATTTTTATGTCTTTGTTTCATTTAAAATTTTCCAGAAGGTACATGCATTCACTGGAGAGAGCTAGGAGGGTTAGGGAGAAAGTATTCCCCCATGGGAGATGGTCACAACACAATCCCTTCTCCTCTATTTCTCCCTCCTGTCAGGATTTTTGGTACTCATGCATAAGTGTCTAGCATGTTTCTCAAGCTGCAGGTCTGGGGCGTGAACTACGGTCACCATGGAGGGACCAACTGCCCCAACTGCCTTCTTTTTTTTGGGGGGGGGGGGTTTACTATAGGGTACGTGCACTCACCAGAAAGACAAAGAGAGACAGAGACAGAAAGCAAGAAATCACTCCCCAGGGGGGATGGCCATGCCGTGATCCTTTCTCCTCCACTGTCCTCTCGGGATCTTGGGCATGCACGCACACGCCCCTGGAGTGAGTTTAAGTCACCGGGTCCAGGATTCAAACCGCAGTCGACAACACGGAAATCCAGCGACATAGCCATTATACCAACTGCTGGTCCCGGATCCAATTATCTTAATTAACCAGCAGGCCATGGGCTTGCTCTATTTTTATTTCATGCAGAATCAGGTTTACATTTTACATGTGAGTGAGTCCAGTTGTTTCTATCGCTTGGAAGCAAGTTCTGGGCGGAAAGCGACTTTCGCTGATTTTGTAGTCCCTACAAAGACTAGAAATCGTCTACTCATGAGAAGGAGTTGATAGAAATTCATGCGTTTTTAGTAACAAAAGTAAAAGGTGAATGAGAGATACCTTACCAAAATCCTTCTCACACAGTCAGTAAAAGAGAAAATATTCAAGGCAAGGCAGACAGGCTGAAATGCAAAAAAATGAGGTAGAAAAATGGGGAAAGATGGGACCAGCAGTTAGCGTTATGGCTATGTCGCTAGACTCCCATGTAGTCGACCATGGTTCGCGTCCCGGAGCCGGTGGCTTAAACTCATGCTGATAGCGTGTGCATACGTGCCCAAGATCCTGAGAGGAGAATGGAGGAGAAGGGATTGCGGCGTGGCCATCCCCTCTGGGGGTGATTTCTCGCTTTATGTCTCTTTGTCTCTGTCTGTCTGGCGAGCGCACGCGCCCTATAGCAAAAACCTCTAAAAAAAGGGGAGGGAAAATGGCGTGAGGTCTTGAGCTGGGAAGCGTTGCCAGTTTTCAATGTACTGAAGTCTCAATTTCAGACGATGACTGACTTACTAGAATGTTAGTGACCCCAGTTAGCTCACACATTCCGGGATGAGCAGGGAGATGAGATTTTAGCATCAACACAACTTTCAGTATTTAAACCTCAAAGTGGGCTTCTCTGGCTTTTCCCTCCTTTCAGCGTTCTCAGTTCTGGCTTCCCTCTCCTGCCTCAGGGCCTTTGTCCACACACTTCTCTCTGCCGGGAACCCTCTTCCTTTCTGGCACTGGCCTAACTCACTCCACCAACTTCTTTCAGATCTTAAGTCAAATGTCACTTTGTCAAGGAGGCCACTCCCAGCTTCTCCATCTGAAGTGACAACATCACAGATGGTAGCCCTTCCATCCTCCTAGCTTTCTCCTTTGCATTTACCGCAATGATAACAAACAATATATTTCACGTACTTGTCTTTGCTCCTTTCTATCCTTTCCCACAAAAACCTACGCTTCAGGGGGGCTAAAACCTTGGCTTGGCCTGCTTCCTGCTGTATCCTTAGGACTGAGAGCACAGGCCAAAAGGCAAAAAGATGCTTAATAAACAATACGGAATGCATGAACGACAATCTACACCATAATCTGGGATGGGAAATCCCATTCTACTACCATAAAATAGAAAAGGACTTCAAAAGCCTTGTGGAGACATGGAATTAAACCACAAGTTTATTTTAGTGCAAAAAAAAAAAAAATTGAAATCCATGCATAGTCTTGTCTTTCTATGCATTTTCTATAAACTTTTTAACACCCCAGTGAGGCTAAGAATGCTACCACAGCTACACTAGACACAACAGACTCGATCTTAAGCACCCTAGTCTCTTCT